TGAGACAGGAAAAATAAAAATAAATTGAAAAGAGATTAAACTGTGTGACAAGGAAGAAGGAGAGGGAGGAGGAGGAGAAGGAGGAGGAGGAGGAGAAGAAGAAGCAGCAGCAGCTAATTGCCACAGTAGTTCTATCCTTCCCTCTCTTTCATCCTTCTCCTCCTCTTCATCTTCAACCCGCTCACTTTAAGCAAGCCAAGGATTGACCATGCTCTCAGGTTGTCCCCATTCCATCTATTTTTCAAGGATTCTCTGGATATGATGAACTAATGTGATTCATAAAATTAGGAACAAAATAAAAAGAATTCAGACATCCAGGGTCGACCTCTAGATATATGGATGAAAATGAACATTACAAAAGCCCTGACTATATCACAACAAGGACTAGACCATGACTTACCAAGAATAATGTTAAAGGCAGCTGAAAAGCTATTCTAATTAAGTTTAGAATGGGCAAATTAATTTTATGTGATTATAAGTCATACCAGTGATGGAATAACCAGCATGTTTTGTTGTATAAACTATACTAAGTCATGAAATGATACTAAAAAACATATGGCTAAAGACAATTAGTTGTCAATGCAAAGACATGGATAAGGGAGCCAAAGGAGATAAAAATAGAGAAAGAGAGAAAGGAAATGAGAACAGTTACATTATGCAAATAATACACAGCTCCAAAGGAATTTCTTTCCAGTCCTCAGCAAAAAAATAATAATTTATGTTTGCAGATGACAGTCACCCACTGAACATCTTTTATTGATGAAGAACTTTTTCCTAATTACTTCTTTCTACTAACACTAGAAGCAAAGCAAATGGAAGGGCGTTTAATAGTGTATGTCTCATGCAAAGAGGCAAGACTATTTATGTTCTCTAACTTCACCCTTTTCTGTCATTCGTTTTCTGGTCATCAATGGTAAATCCAAAATCACCAACTCACATTTTATCCTGATGCCATATTAGCAATAAAAATATATTTCCCTTCCCTCAGCTTGACAATGTATAACTTTTCCCTAACATAAGCTAAAATTTACAAAAAAAAATGTTAGATGGCAACTGCCACATGCTATCTTTCATTAACAATAAAGGGGTGGATAAGGCATAAACAGGGTGTATGGAGAGCAGAGGAGCCAATAATTGGTTTTCATTTTTTTTNTTGTTGATCAGAAAGGTTGGCAGTTCAGCGGTTCGAATCCCTAGCGCCGCGTAACAGAGTTAGCTCCTGTTACTTGTCCCAGCTTCTGCCAATGTAGCAGTTCGAAGTGTAAAAACGCAAGTAGAAAAATAAGAACCACCTTTGGTGGGAAGTAACAGTGTTTCGTGCGCCTTCGGTATTTACTCATGCCGGCCACATGACCACAGAAATGTCTTCAGACAGCGCTGGCTCTTTGGCTTTGAAATAGAGATGAGCACCGCCCCCTAGAGTTGGGAATGACTAGCATATATGTGCGAGGGGAACATTTACCTTTATGCATAAACATTTCAGGCAAAAATGGGCAAAAAAGTTTAAGGCAAAAATAATAACACTGTAATAATAACAATGTGCAATCATTTGTTAAAGTCCTTCCTCCCTGGGAAGAAACCAAATCTCAAACATAAAACCCTCTAAGATAATTAATATTTTGAAAAATGGCATCTTCTGACTAAATAGAATCATTGTACTGCTCAAAGAAAAGAATCAAGCATTTTTTGGCCACCAGATGTTCATGGTAGAAGATTATGTTGGGCAGATTAAAGAAATGTAGCCTCTAAAACAGTTTAGTGTAAGGTTGTCAAGCTCGTGGCCTACAGGCCGGATGTATCATGCGCTAGCCACACCCATGCCTGGTTTAGCGAAGGGGGGAAAGTCATCATATGACGTCACCATGACGATGCGAGTTGGACAACGCTGGTTTAGTGCCTCATATAAATGTTTCTTAAATGTTAGTAAAATATTCTTGGTTGGGCAGGAGAAAAGGCCCCAGTGAGTCTTCCAAAGGATATCTATCTCACAGGGGCAGGTTCATCTAATTGACATTCCTACAGGAGAGGAAGGAGATCTGATACAGAAACTTTTAATCTTCCTCCTACATTATATAACCTGAAGATAAAGCAGTCAAGGAAACAGACATATTGCCATACATCCAATTCTTCCATATTTTAAAACGATGTGGTTTTCTTCAACAGCAGTCTCAATGAAACTAAAGTGCGTGACTGCACATGTGCCGATGCTGGCCAAGAAAACATTGAGGAACAATTAGAAAAGTCGGGTGGACAGAAAAAGCCCACCTGCTTCTGAAAACCTCAAGACAGCCTTGTGCTTGTGAATGAACAGCTGAACAATTGGAGTCAGTGGAATTATTTCGCAGAATAAGCACAGCGTATTTGGACATAGTGCTTCTCCTCCAGACTGTAACAAGAGAACGGGATGAAGGGCATTTTGCTGTAACGTATATTCAACTCCTTAGAAACAGCCACAATGCACAGATCGAATGGCTGAATAAATGTAGGATGGATAGCTTGGCTGCTTCGCTCTATTGCATTGAGTGATTGGGCCTCTCCTGCTGTAGCTCCCAGGTATTAATAAAAGTTTTCCAACCTGATAGAAACAGTTTCTGTAAAGGATGAGTTGTGGTACTTGAAGTAAATATGTGCACACTACAGAATATAAGCCATTAACCCTGCTTTAGCTGGGTCATTCAGGGCAGAGTGTCCATGCTATTTGAAGTACATGTAAATAAGCCAATCTGTCATGCAAAAGTCAGGTTCCTATCTTAGAGGATAAGGTCATTCATAGCAACATTTGTTTGTCCTTTTAATTATTTGGCTGAGGCCAGAGAATGAGCAGACCATCTCTCTACAATATATAGATATCTATGATGTATGGAAAGGTGAATAATTCCTTCTGACTGTAGCATGACTTTTTTTCTATTTCTGTTCAGTTTCAAAAATGCAGTTTCAATTGCAGACATATATATTGTGTTCAGTTTTTTTATGAGTTTCAACACTTATTTTCAAGGGTTGTATTTGCGCAAACTGTCTCTTTCTTCCTCAAAAGCGAGTAATCCAATTTGTAACCACGGTGTAGAAAAGCAGTTATTCAGAAGCTAAATCAACAGAATAAATGCATCACGGTGCAGGTTTATTCGCAGCCAAAGAGGTCCTTCATCTCTTCAAGCTTATTTTCTACACATTCTTGCCTTCCTTTGATGTCTGAACTTTATACCTTGCTGCTGTAAACACTTTCCACTGAAGAGGTTTCTAAGATCTCCTCCACCTTAACAGAATGTGCTGTCAATTACTAACAGGAAATGCTACATTCCGGGGCTGGAAGGAATGCATTCACTCATAATGAATAGCGCTCTGGGCTCCAATGGGAAAGCTGCACAAGCCCTGATTTAATCCTGTGGAAATGTACAAACGTCGTCAGTCAATAGCATTGACTCAGATTATTGCTCACCAAGGTTCAGAAAGCCTGGCTGATAGAACACTTTAATAGATCTCAGCATAATACAAACCTGTTTCTTGGCTCTGATGCTCTGGTTCATCACTGCTTGGCTTCACTTCTGTGCCATTCTCACCTGCCAGAAAAACGACAGCCATAGAGGGTTATAAGACACATTTCTGATTGTTGAGTAGACAAAGTCAGTAGGAACTGCAGCCAACGTAGCAGGTTGATGGCACTACATATAACGAACCCAACAAGGAAAGCATTGGTAAGCCAAAAGTAAATTGCGACCATCACAGGATTGGATCCAAATATAGACATTTTTAGAAGTGATCTATTAATTGGGCCACGACTAACTTAAATGATATTGATTCTGATGTATGACTTCCCAGATTCAACCCCTCCTCCCAATAATGAATATTTAACATTCTTCTTCCCGGTGAAATAGGGAATTGAGGAGGCCATAACATTTTAGAGCAGGGGTCCCCAAACTTGGCAACTTTAAGACTTGTGGACTTCAACTCCCAGAATTCTCCAGCCAGGTATGCTCTGGGAGTTGAAGTCCACAAGTCTTAAAGTTGCCAAGTTTGAAGGCCTCCGTTTTAGAGAGTTGCCTTTCAATCCTGCAAAAGTTGTATAGAGAATCAAAATGCTTTTGTAGCAGATAGGATTCTATAGTATGCAACATAATCTGCACATGTGTTTTTAGGACCAATACTGTATATATCGGTGACAAAAACCTGGAGGACCACGAGATGGTAGCATAAAACTAGAAAGGCAGTTAAACTCTTGCAATTTAATTGTTCTCTGGAATTTTATTGCCCAGATTTTATTCCCCAGTTATAAGATTTTTATTTGCCTTAAGTCTATGCACAACTGGGGATATTGCAGTTTCCTTCAATGTTATACCCACTTTAGGCTGCTTTGGAAGTTCCACAAGTTTTCCATGCTAAAGTGATGCATCCATATAAAGATGAAAGCAGAAAATGAGTGAAAACTACTTGAAACACTGCTGTTAGTACAAATGATCCTTATATCTTTGATTTCCAAGCTTAAATAATTTTTTTCTAGAAAATGTATTAGTGTGACTATATTCTGAAGCAAGACAAACTAAATGAGGATTACCAAATATGCAGAAATTGTGGATAAAATCCTGATTATATTTACCCAGCTTCATAGCAGGAAGGTGTCTTTTCAAATGGATAAATGCTAGCCTTTTACCAAATGACTTTTATTTGTCCTATAAAAGATTTTATTTACCTGATAAGAAATTATCTCATAGAGTTTGATCTTTATTTGTCACTTCTGTGTTTGGGTTGTCCAATTATACACATCTATCTATTCCCTCTGCTTTTCTTCTTCCTAAAATATTGTACTATTTTTTCTTTTTAGTCATGCACTTTCTGTTTTGATTTATTCTGACTGCTAACTTTACGTTTGTAATAACATGAATAATTTTGTTTCATTCAGTTTCAAGGCTGCCAAGCTCTTTAACAGCGTCTAATTTAAAAGGGAAGGAAGGAAGGAAGGAAGGAAGGAAGGAAGGAAGGAAGGAAGGAAGGAAGGAAGGAAAGGGTATTTAACTAGTTTGATCATTCCTATTACTTCTTCTGTTAATCTTCAGGAATGCTTTAAACACTTGGATGGTTCCTCAGGCACTGGGGTTAAGATATT